CAGTGCAGCAGGTGAGCGGCCCTATCCGCCATTTTATAGCGTGGCACACTCGCTCCCCATAGGGCCAGGTGCTCAGCACCCCAAGCCGTCTCCACCTGCTGTTGCCTCATCCTTCTGTGTGGGTGGCTCAAGCTTGGCTCCTAGACTCCTGGTTAGCTCAAGGGGGGCAACCAGTGCCTTCCCTGGTTCTCAGAAGCCCTGCCTCTCACCCCTTCTGTTGGCAGCAGTCTAAGCACTTCCTTGGGCATTGCCCCACCAAGGCAGAGGACAGTTAGCAATGCGGCCAGAACTCTTGGATTCCAAGCTTAGCTGTGTGCTGAGGAATTGAGGGAAAGTTGCTTGAGCTCTCTGTGTATCAGTTCTATGTTCATACAATAGACCTATTAATTTCATGAGCAACTTGGTGTCTGCACACACTGGGCTTTTAAATAAACTTGGAGAAGCCCCTGCGGTGGTTTGAATGGGAATGGTCCCATGGGTTCATATATTTGGGTGCTTGGTCCCTAGTTAGTTGAATTGTTTGGGACGGATTAGAAAGTATGGTTTTGTTGGAGGAAACCTTACTTGAGGGTAGGCTTTGAGGTTTCAAAAGCCCATGCTATTCCCAGTTAGCTCTCTCTGCATTATAATCATCGTCTTAAGAAGTGAGCCCCAAGACCTGAGGATGTGATAGTGGAGCAGCTAGCCCCACCCCTCTCGTCTGTGTGGTCATGAGGGCAGCTTCACCACAGGTGGCAGGGCACTGACCCTCCCCCTTACCAGCTGCAGCATTCCTGAAGGTGGGCACTGCACCTCACTTGGGCAACATAGTGGAACTGACCCGATTGACGATTGACGGGGTGTGGGAGATCTGGTTCCGCCCCTCATCTGCCATTTGGTGGTATGGGCAGGGGGCTGGGGAGGGGGAGATGTCCCTCAATCCCTTGCTGCCCTGCAGGTGAGAGAGAGGGTCCTGTGGTCTTAAGAGCTGGAGAGAGTCTGTGGCCCTCACCGGCTGTAGATTTTGGGACAGTGACCCTGCACCTCTCCTGGCCCTGATGATCCAGGTGTGGTACAGCCAACCCTGAGGGCGTGAAAGCAGGAGAGCTGGCTCTGCCTCTTGCTCCATGGGGACTGGGGCTCAGAGTGCTGACGGGATGGAGCCTGGCCCTCCATCCCAGAGATCTGGGAAGATCCCAGAGTCTTGTCCATCCTTGCTCATCCTGGTATAGCCAGGATCTGTCTGGTTCCTCCAGGAGCTCTCACCACAGAGCCCCAGGGCCATCCCCCTACCCCCGTCCTCTCCACACGTGTGAGGACCTCATCTAAGGGGAGGGGCAGCTGTGTCAACCAGGTGTTGGCTGGGATACTGGGGTCTAAATCAGCCACAACACAAGAAAAACTGAAGCTCATCCCCCTGATCTGGGGTTCAGTGGGGTGGGTAAGGAGTGTGTTGTCTTTCCGGGATGAGACGCCCTGGAAATGAGGGGCTCCCCTCACAGACAGGCAGGGAACAGTGCAGAACCCAGGGGACCTATAGCTAGTGCCACCCCAGGGGCTGTGCTCTGAGTGGTCTGAGGGTGTTACAAAAATGAACCCCTTGTGGGCACTTCAGTGGGGCTCAAGCCTTGTCACCAGGACATGCTGGAGAGGTCACAAACGGGGCCAAGGTGTGGAAGACCCCCAGGCACAGAAAGGTGACCTCTTACACCGCAGCCTCTCAGTCTCAGGAAACCACCCGCCCAGAGGTGACAGACAGAAGTATTTGTGTGGTGGAGGCAGCCTCCTCACCTCCACTCCGCCTGCCTTCTGCTTCCCTGCTGGGGCTCCGCCCTGTGGCTGCTGCAGCCTATATTAGGAGTGAGGCAGATGGGAGCGGCAGGACCCCCTCCCAGCCTGCAGGAGTCTGGCCCACCACCCTTCTGGGAGAGCTCCCTTCCAGCATCAGCCTGGCTCCAAGGAACCCATTGGAGGGGGGGATCTACAGAAAAAGGGGTACTTGGGTGTGAGGTAATGGAGGAAGAGAGGGAGTAAGGGCAGAGATCCGAGGACTTTGGAGCAGGAAGGGGGAAGTAGGAGATTAGGGCCAGGTATGATGCAGAGGAAAGGAGGCCTGGGTCTCATGGCCCCCAGCGTCAGCAGGTGGAGTCCATTAGAAGAGGGGCCATGCTGGTGAGTGGATTGGAAAAGGCTGGTGTCCACAGTGCGAAGAAAGTTGACTTCCTCTATGTGACGTGGCTCCACACCATGCCATGAGGCTGCGGGGAGAGGGGCTGCTCCCGTTCCTTGCCTGGCCTGAGCCCTGCCGAGAGTGGGTGCTGAAGCTGGGCTGCCTCAGGCCTGACTGGGGTGCAGGACTAACCTAAGTCACCCTCAGTCAAGACCTCCCAGCCAAGGGCACTACACTGACCCATCCAAGTGGAGCTCCCAAAAGCCCTGGCAGTTCCAACTTTGTGCCCTGCCTGACTCCTGGTCAGGGTCTAATTGCCTCTTCTGCCAGGGAGTCTCCAAGTCCTGGGTGCTCCGGCTGCCTCCTGCCTCTGTTCCTTCCTGTAGTGTTCTCTGATTTGGGGTACTCAGAAGATGCCAGAGACTGAAGCACAATTTGCATTTTAATAAAGAAAGTTGGATTTCAGTCATTTGCATTTAAATAAGATGCTGCTTCCTTCCTTGCTGTTGGCACCTTTGGGAGAAGGTTCCCAGGCCTCCCCAGAGAATCTGGGTACAGCCTCTTCACCCAGGCAGCTCCAGGGAAAAGGAAAGCCAGCAGCAACAGCCCACAAACACAGCTCTCTACAGAGATGTCACCCAAGTATGCGTGTGCACATACCCACGCACTCGTGCACGTTCCCACAAGCATGCATGTACTCACACCTAATGCACATGAGCACCCGTGCACATTACATACACACTTGTACACTCACAAGTGTGCCCTGGACATGTAGGCACACACATGCCCACCTACATATTTATGTGGATATGCACAGGCACAAGTAAACCTGTGGGCTCGAAATGCCAAGTACTTGATGCAGGTGAGCAGGTGCCAACTGCAACCGCATCCCTGAGCCTGAGGGATGGGTGGTCCTACCTCCTTCCTGGAGGCCAGTGTAAGGAGGGGCCGATGTGCTTCCAAGGCACTGACATGGCTGCCACTTGCTTTTCTCCGCTCAGCTATCTTCTGTAGCAGCAGCCCAGCCCACACCCCTCCAGTAGCTCTCCAGGTCCTTAATGCCCCCTTTCCCATGGTGCTATGGGACAGCTATGGCCATGTAGAGCAGGCCAGGCTGGACTTGGGGTGCTGGCACTCAGCCTCAGTTCCCTTATCTCTCCATGGGATATCTGGGACTTTTCTTTGACTTGTGGAGATGCACAGGTCACAATCACACTTGGCCTGGAATGGAGGCTTGTTGAGTCCCTGCAGAACCCCTAAATCCACGACTGGGCTTCAGAAACCGTGTGAGTCTGCTCCAGCAGGCACTGCCGCACCAGGCTGAGGCTGGCAGAGGAACTGTGAGGGATGCTCGAGGCCTGTGCAGAGCGAGAGGACCTAGGGCTGGGCCACCTAACCCGGAGTCTGGGGCTCTACCCGTGAAGTGAGGGAGACATCAGTTGGGCCCTGGTGCTTGGGAAACCACATGTGGGCAGCATCCCCTTGAGACCCAGAGAGACAACCCCTTGTTGGATGGACATCAGATCTAGAACAGCAGGTGTGTCTGCCTAACAGTCAGGAGTCTCTAGCAGAACAGGGCAGGGCCTCAGTCTCTGGTTTGTGCAATGCCACCCCTTCCCGAGACTGTGGTGCACCCAGCAGGGCAGATCTAAGGTCCCTGGGGTGCTCAGAGCTGCTGCTCTCATCCCTTGACTCGCTGTGCAAACACCAGGGAGTCCCTCACACAACTTCCTCTGCTCCGCTGTCAGGAACATCCTCTGTACCCACTTCTCAGGAGGCTCAGAAACATCTTCCCCATCCACGACGACACTGCCCTCCTCCAGGGACAGCTCCACAGACAGCTGCAAGACCAGGAGCCTTGGTCTCAAACACAAGGCACAGCTGCAGGAACATGCTTGTGGACTGAGTGAGGCACAAAGGAGTTGCAGAGGCCCTCTGTCGCTTCGCTACACCTATTCCTCTTGGATTTGCTTAGACATCCCAGGGCAGGGGAGGGGGGACAGCTCAGTTATTGAAATGTTTGTCACAAAAGCACGAGAGAACCTGCATTTTGTCTCCAGAACCCACCCATGTGCAGACAGGGTGGCAGAGGCCGGTGTGCCCTAGCCTTGCTTTCAATCCAGTTCTGGCCAGTGAGAGACCCAACCTAAAAACCCAGGGCGAGGTTGGGCATGGTGGGGGCCCACCTTTATGAAAGGCAGGGATAGGCAGATCTCTGTGACTTCTAGGTCAGCCTACTCTACATAGTGAGTTCCAGGCTAGCCTGGGCTTCACAGTGAGACCCTGTCTCAAACACTGAGATGAACAGCTGCTGAGGAATGGCATGCCCACACATGTGTGTGCACATGCACACATATGCACCTATATACATAGGCACATAAAATGCAAAATTTTAAATGGGGAAAGTCCCAAGCAGCAGACATAGCCATGTCCCTCGGGAGTGTCAGGAGCTGTCTTGGGAGCTGCTATTTTGCATGGTCTGGGCCTCTGACAGGCCCCGACTTCTCAGCTGTCTCTCTGTCCCCTATGGGTCTTGCTGCTTGGCCACTGGGTTCCTTCCAGCATGGAGTTCCATGGGGGAACTTTTGACTCTCCTTCCATAAGAAGCCACAGCCCAGGAGTGTTCCCAAGTCCCACAGGCCCAGACCTCACGTCTGAGTCATGCTGTGGCCACAGCCTACCCTCACTCGGTTTTGTATAGTTCTGGAGCTGAGAATGGCTTTTATATTTTTGAATAGGTGACAGAGAATTCCACTGAGTATTTGTGACATGCAAAGTTGTATGAAATTTGGATCACAGAGCCATAAATAAAGTTTTATTGGCACATGGCCATGCTCACTTCATGCCAGGCAACTGCAGCTGCTCTCACAATTGTTAGCAGCACGAGGTTTGAGAGTGTGCAGGCTGGAGTGAGCCAGGCTCAGACACTCTCTGATCCTTCCCAGACTGAGGCTGAGGACTCCTGGCCTTGGAGCACGGTGGCCTCTGGATCAGGTTTCTAGAGTCAAGAGCAGGTCACCATCTACTTGCTGGTTAGGGAAATATTCTTCAGCCCTTCCTAGCGTGAGTGTCTCTCTACATCATGCTTCCAGATCAGGTCCCTGAGGGTTCCAGGAGAGTGGTCTTGGTGGCATCTGACGTGTGGAGGGACACTGTGAAGCTTTTCACTCTCCGGGAGTTGTCCTCGGCAGGTGCTCTCCACAAGTCGCGGAGGCCACAGCAGGTGGGGAGGGGAGCCTGGCACGGAAACAGCTGCAGTGTCTGTCCTAAGAGGCATGGTGGCTGGTGATGGCCTCCGAGCCTCGGATCAGTGGACAGTCACCAGGCTTGGGTGGCTGCTATCTGCCCAAGGGTGAGTGGGGGGAAGGGCAATCCTCACTGACATCAAGGGCACAGGCACAGCCCTCCTGTTGCAGGCCTGCAGATGGGTGTCCCCCCATCCAGCTCTCACCCTTTATGTCCCTGTCATCCACTACTTCTGACCGCCACCCTGCAGGCTGTCCTAGGAGCAAGTTTGTGTGCCCTGTGGGAGATAGTACCCCTCCCTCTACCTCCCACCATGGCTCTATTAATTGTTTATATTGCAGTCTGTTAATTGGCAATAACTGGCGTGCTGAAGTGTCTTTTAATCAGCCGCTCTCAGCCCCCGAGGCTGTGAGGGATTGGTGGATTCAATAAAGCAAGAAGGAATTAGTGGCCCCCTTCTCTTCATTATCACAGCTAGATAAGCTGCCAGCACCTGTCAGCAAAGGCAGAGAAGGAGTCAGCCCCTCCCCAGGCTTCCCTGTCCCCCTTCCTGCCAACCAGGACTCAAGACAGACTACCCTGGAGACAAACAGGAAGCCAAATGCATACAGGGCACAAATGCACATAGCTACACAAGACCACAAGTACACACACAGGTACACATGCAGCAGGCCCATGGACACACACATGCCCATGTGTGCACACTCAGTGCACAGAGGGACACTGACCCTGTGCAGCTCTGGGGGTGCCATGCAGCCATTTGGGAGCACACACTGTGATCTGTTTGCCCTGGAAGAACTGTGGCCCCAGAAGGGACAGACTAGACAGGGTTCCACAATGTCACCGTTACCCCAACAGAGGCCTCCGCAGGTGGAGACAGCCCAGAGAGGAGTTGAGGATGCTGGGACCAGAGTTGGTCCATGCTCCTGCCCTGTGGATCTATACCCAGTAGTTCCAGAGGGAGGCTCCTGGAAAGGGGAGTCCCACCTACCTTTCTTGTCATCATTTAGCATCTACCCAGGCCAGCAGGTCCTGGGGACAAAGCCACCCAAGGACCTACAGGTGAGTGACTGTGCTCTCTCCTAGGACAGAGGCTCTGTGTTCCCCTCTTCTCCTCCAGAGCACCCCAGCCCCTTCTTGGAGAGATGACGTCAGCTACAGGGCCCCTGCTCTCTCTTGTCTGGTTCCCTCTAAGTCACCCACTGCAGCCCCCAGCTGCTCCCGACCGCTCACTCTCCTCCTGAGATCCTCATGCCATCACTGAGAAAAGTCCCTGGGTGGGGTGCTGTGCTTTAGCCTTCTCAAAGAGCTTAGCTCTCTCTCTGTGTCCATCCATCCATCCATGCATCCAACATGTCCATGTTTTGGGGCATTATATTGGGGCCCTACCTTCTGGCCTCCTGTGGGAGCCAGCCCCCTGGCTTTTCTTCTCAGCATATCGAATCCACGAGGTTAGCCTTACTCTTGGCTCTATATGGACACCAGGCTTCAGGTTCATCTACACAACATGTTGGAGAGGGCAGTCCTCTGCAGCAGCTTTCCAGCTCACAGAAGGAAGACTTGGCTGAAAGTGAAGCTAGACACCTGGATCCAGCCGTACCTGAAGCTTTTCGTCAACTCGAGCCAATAAGTACACTCCTGATACTTTGACAGAAAACTTGGTTAACACAGGGTTGACAGAGTCACCAGTCCACATCAGGTTTACAGTTAACTCCCAAAGGAATAACACACGGGAAGGACTGTGTTAGGCCACCAGCCATCAGCTCCACCCCAGCGTAGTTTCACCTTGGTCTCCAGGTCTGCTCCCTCTCTATGCAGGTTCCCTTTCTAATCTGAGCTACTTGCTCCCTCTGCCTTCCCACTGCATGTGGCACCCACCCAACATAACTAGAAGCTCTTTGCTCATTATGGCTCTGCCCTCCACCGCACGGAGAGCCCACCCCGAGTCTGGCCTGCCCTCCTGACCCTGTCCTAATTGGCCCACTTTGCTTCTTTTGGGTCCCAGCCTCTGGACCTTCGGGTCCTTCCCTCTGCCACGACTCCTTGTCCTGTAGATTTGGCAAAGCCTGTGCCTGTGGTCTGGAATAAGAAGGGTGGACTGGGGCAAGGCCTGAAGGGATTGCACGTGTGCCTGCGTGTGTGCATATGTGTGCATGCATGTGTGTGTCTATGCCAGAGGCCCCTGAGGGCGGAACATTCCATAGAGAATATCCCAACCTGCCCATGGCAGGTTGATTACCCCTCATTACCTCTCTTTTCTGACAGAAGAACACAGATTCCCTCCTGACATCAGGGGTCGGTCAGATGAGGGCCTGCTGGAGACAGAGCTGCCTCCAGGGAGCGGCAGCGAGAGCTCAATAAAGCCTGAGTGAGCACCTGGTCCTCGAGCTGCAAGCCCATTAATCCCTGAAAGTCCTGCCCCTAAATGAAAAGCCATTAAGTGAAGAAATATTTTCATTAATTTTAATGAAAAAATTACCGAGAATTCAATCCCAGGCCATGACAGCCAATTTCTCAGACATAGGGAAAATTTTGCCATTGGACAAGGCAAACACAGCTATGCACGTAATCAACAGCTGCCTGAAGTCCAAGGCCCCGCCCTTGGGGTTAACAGGGAAGTGAGGTTTCTGTTTCCACAGAGGGCCGAGCCAGCAGCCCGGAAAGCATCAGTTCCAGGCGGGGCCTCTGGGAGCTCACAGGGGCGACAGAGTTAAAGAGAATAAGACCTTTGGGGCAAAGTGAAGGGAGAGGGAGGGAGTGGTGGGGGCATGGGAAAGATCTCACAGAACTGTGATCTAGTTGAATTTGTTTATCTTGCAGAGGACCTGGGTTCAGGTCCCAGCACCCACATGGTGGCTCACAACCACCTGTAACTCCAGTTCCAGTGGATCTGATTCCCTCTTCCGACCTCCATGGGCTTGGCAGGCACATGGCCTATATACATACAAGTAGGCAAAAAACAAATATACAGGATTAAAATAAATACTTTTTAAAGGAAGAAGAAGTCACACACACACACATACACACAGACACATACACCTGCTCTGCACGTGATGACAAGGCTCAGCGATCTGTTCAAATCTGGTGTGATTCAGATGGAGCCACAGACCTACGACCTCCCCGGTCAGCCTCCGTCCACAAACTTTCCCCTGAAATCAGAAACACCTGAGAATCTTCAATTACTGGGTTTCATGACAAACAGATGAGGAGACCAGAGTTGTGTGAAGTGGGGTGAGGCTCAGAGGGTAGACTGCTTGTCTGTGGTGTGAGTCTGTATCCATCCCCAGCTCTGCAGGAAATCGGTGTGGAGGAGCAGCCAGGGATGCCAGGACTCAGGAAGCAGGAGCAGGAGGATCAGAAGTTCAAGGTCATCCTCAGCAGCTTAGAGAGTACAAGGCCAGCCTAGGATACATTAGACTTGGCCTTAAAATAAAAGAAAAGAAAAAAGATAAACCACTTCACAGGGTAGTCACAATTGGAGGCACCAGAGGACGGGTCTGTGATTTCTAAGAACTTGCTTCCCAGTCTGTTACTAGGGGAGAACTCTATGCCTCCACTGTCCAGAGAACTAGAGGCTTAAGGAAAAGTGGACCTAAGGGTTGGCACAACATTTGCTTTGGAACAGCCCCTGCCCCGCTTCTCTGGTAGGCACACTTCCACATGCACACCCTTCTTCATCCCAATAGGAACACCCAGGGAGACAAAAACCAGAAACATGGCTGGAATCGGAGTCTTGAAACATTCAGCTGAGGTGTTGGAGGGACGGCTCAGTAGTTAAGAGCACATACCGCTCCTTTTCACAAAGGACCAGTGTGTGATTGGTGCTCAGTACCCATGCTGGGTAGCTCACAGCTACCTGAACTGAACTCCAGCTTCAGGGCCAACACCCTCCTTTAGCTGCTGTAGGCACCCCATACACATGACATATACTCACACCTAGACACACACACACACACACACACACACACACACAGAGAGAGAGAGAGAGAGAGAGAGAGAGAGAGAGAAATATGTTTAATCATGAATGACCAGGTCAACTTAGAAAAGAGTTTGTTGAGGTTTATGAATCCAGAGGGTTAGTGTCCATGATGGCTGAATGGAGAGGGCAGACAGCTGGGGCAGGAAACTGGGAACTCAATTCTTGAATCCCTCATAGGAAGCCAAGATAGTGAACAGGAAACAGTGCTGTGGCTTAGAAAACTCAAGGCACACCCCCAGTGATGTAGTTCCTTGAACAAGGCCACACCTCCCAACTCTCCCCAAATAGTGCCACCAACTGGAGATCAAATACCCAAATGCCAGAATCCATGGGGACCTTCTCACTCCAGGCCCCACACCGGGCAAGCCTGATGATTGAGACCCACTGCCTGTTGGGCCCTGTGTCCACACTTCCCATCTACTGAAGGGCCAGCCCTCTCCCACCCTGTATTGTCTGGATAGCTCTGTCTCCCAGCCTCAGGCATGAATCTGGCTCTCGCCCCCACCCCGATCCTCAGGGATCTGCTTCCTTGAGTCAAAAGTCATTTATATTTACCAAAAGCTGGAAACCCACAGGGATTCTGTTTTATGATCCAAGACTACTTTCAAAATCCAAGTAAGTCCTCCCCCTAATATACTCCTGCTAATTTTCTGCATGAAGAGAACATTCCAGTAGGCGACAGTCCACTGGACCCTCAGGATCCTCTCCGAGACTTTGGGTCCCCAGCTGGATCCCTGTTTCTCTCATAGATCAGCTCTCCCATAGCCACCGATGACTTCCATTTTGTCAGATCCTGTTAAAGCAAATCTTATCAGCTTCCCTGAGATTAGCCTCAAGGATACCCTCAGAGGTGCGTTTCTATGGTGATTCTGTTTCCAATAAGTTTTAACTGAGGAGGGAAGACCCACCCCAAATATGGGTGGATCAGCCCACGGGGTCCTAGACTGAACAAGAAGAAAGTGAACTAAGCACCAACACTCATCCCTGTCTGCTGACTGCGGGTGTCATGTGACCAGCTAACAGTGGGTGTCATGTGACCAGCTAACAGTGGGTGTC